AGATAAAGATTGATTCTCAAGAAAAAAAAGATGACTCCAAAAATATGTCAACACTTTCATATTCAAAACCAATAACTTATCATTTTCACAAAACAAATCCCCATCAGCCAACCCTGAGAGAAACCTAAAAAAAAAAAAAGAAGATATTCATCATTCCTTTTCCCCATAATTACCCCTTATTCACACCTGTATCTTCCTCGCCATAAGGACCTTGACTCACCTGTTCTTCAGAGAGGGAGGACGAGGTGGGCGCGGGGGTGGGTGCCCAGTCGTCTCCCATGGTTATGCCAATGAGCTTTCCGTTGGGCACCAGGATCAGACCTACGAGGGGCAGGGCAGTTATTTAAGGTAATGGTCATAGTAATGGTTGTAGTTTTAGTAATGTTTATAATACAATGATGATAATATATGTGTGCATACAAGCAAACACACTCATCTGGATACAATACAAATAAATGCAATTCTTTTCGAAGTTCAGATGGTGGTAGCCTTTTGCTTTGTCTCTTTTCTTCTATCTCTTTCATTTTTGTTTATTGTTGTTTTTCTTTATCTTTTTCCATTATTATTGGTATGAATCATTTTCGCCATTATTGTTATTGGTATAAATATTGTTTTGATGGTTTCTATTGCGACTGCTGCTGTTTTGCAGTTCTTTATGGTTTAATGATGATATAATGGTGATGGTGATGATGATGTTGGAGATGGTGATGAGGATGAAGGAGTAGAGAAGAATGATAAGAAAGTTGAAGACAAGTAGGTAGAGGAGGACGACGACGAGAACAGCTATGCAACAACCTTCGAATCCGGGACTTTCAACACCAGAAAAAACAAATTTCAAATCCCCTTACCCTTTCCCGCCAAAAAAAAAAAAAAAAAAAAAAAAAACTACCGCAACAACCTACAAACAGAGCCTTCAACTCCAAAACAAAGAACAAAAACAAATCTCCTTCTCAACCGTTGAAAAATAAAGAAAGCACCGATATTCCCAAAGACGCAGCGAGGGCGGAAGTGCAGCTCTTCCTCGCACCAGTCAGCCTCCGGTCGAGTGTGAGTATCGGTCAGTCGAAACGCAATCTCTTTACGCGTGGCTGTGCTCCGAGACGCGCCGCCATGTTGCCTCTTCGCTTCGGTTTGTGCTTTCCTGTGCGATCCGGTTTCTTGAGGGGGTATTGCTGTTTGTTTGTTGTTTGTTTGGTTGGTTTGGTTTGGTGTTGTTATATTTTTTGTTTTTGTTGGTCTTGTCTGATCCGTTTTCTTGAGGAGTTATTGTTGTTTGTTGTGTTGTTGTTATTTTTTTTTTAAAAAAAAAAACAAAAAAAACAAAAACAACAAACACAATAAACAACAGTAACCCCTCAAGAAAATGGATCAATTCAATTCAATTCAATTGTTTAATAAATAAACAATTGAATTGATCCATTTTCTTGAGGGGTTATTGTTGTTTGTTGCGGCTGTTTGTTTGTTTGTTTTGGTGTTATTTTTTTGTTCTTGTTGGTGTTGTGTGGTGTTATTGCTTGTTGCAGCTGTTGATGTTCTTGTTGTGGTTTTGATCGTTATGTCTTCAGGTTAGGGCGCCTGAGTGTAGCCCTAGTGTATCTGTTACTTGTTCCTTAATAACGTTGTTGTTATTCCGTTTGTTTGAGTGTTTGTGTTTTTTTTTTTTTTAATTCCCATGTTTTCTTACTAATGACAGAATATATTCTACACATCCTCTTCTCTTACCATGCATCTGTCCATCCGACACTTAATCTCTCTCTTACTTTTTCCTTTCCTTTTCTTCTCCCCCTCTCTCTTCCTGCACCGTACTTTCTCTCCCTCCTTCTCCTCCTCCTTCTCCGGGACATAAATCCTTAGTGGCGGCTAGAGTAGGCAAGCATACCCCCCTTTCCCCTACCCAAGCCCCCCCCCCCAACACCGACAACACGGACACTCACGGCAGGGTATAGAACCGCCCTTGGATTGTGTTCTTTTATCCTTCTTATAAACTTCCTTTGCGCGCTTTTTTATCGTCGTTCTCTTTGCTCTCTTTCCGTACGTGGTGTTAAGGAGGGAAAAAAAGTGAAGAAAAAGGATGTTTGAATTGTCCTTGTTGGATTATTCAAATGAGGGGGAGAATTTGGAGAAAGGAGAGCGATGGTGGTGAAAAGATAAGCTTATTTTTTTAAGAGGGGATCTAACACTATGTAAAAAAAAAAAGAAGATCGCCTGATGTTTTTCGTCTTTTCGCTCAAGCGCTCGCGAAAGAAACCACGGGAGAGGATTTCAGAATAAGAGAAAAAAAGAATAGAGAAACAAAACACGAGAAGGAGGGACAAAGGAGACCAGCCGGAAAAGACAAATAAGCATTAATATCTCGAGCAGAAGAAGAACGAGAGAAAAATGTGTATATATATCACAGGTTCATACCCGACTTGTAAATATCTGCCTTCCAACATGACATGGAAACTCACTCAGCGTCTTGAGACATGAGGGAGACGTAAAGGGGAGAGGGGAAGGAGGGGAAAGAGGAGGAGGGAGAGGGAAAGAGGGATGGAGGAGGGGGGGAAGAGGGAAGAGGGGCGGAGGGAGAGCGAAAGAGGGGTGGACGGAGGGAGGGAGGGAGTGGGAAAGGGGTGGAGGGAGGGAGAGGGAAAGAGGGGTGGAGGGAGGGGAAAAAGGGAAGGAGGGGTGAAGACAGGGAGGGGGATGAGTGGGGGAGGGAGGGGACGGAGGGCGAGAAAGAGGAGTTAGAGTTATGACTCAGTTGAAGAGAGGAAAACGGAAAGGGGGCCTGGGAAACGACGGAGACGCAGAGAGAAAGAACGAAGGGAGATAGAAAAAGGGGAATAACGCGCAGAGGAGAGCGAGATAAAATGACGAAGAAGGCTTGCGGATGAGAAAGATATCACAAGTACTTAAAAAGATAAATAAATAAAATGAAAAATACAAAGAGAGAGAGGGGGGGAGGCATAGAGTGGTAAAAGTTGAAGGAATGATATAAGCGGAAGAGAATAAATGAATGATGGAAAACTACTTTTGAAGAGACAAAGAGAGAATGAGAGAAATGAAAGAAGTAAAAAAGAGAGAAAGAGAGGGAAAGCGAAATAAAGAAGAGAAAGAGAGGGAAAGCGAAATAAAAAAAAAAGAGAAAGAGAGAAAAAGTTAAATTAAAAAAAGAGAAAGAAAGTGAGAAGTAGAAGGAAAAAGAGAGGGAAAGCAAAACAAAAGGGAGCGACAAAGGAGTAAAAAGATAAAGAGAAAGAAGGCGAAATAAAAAGAGAAAGAGACACACACACAGGCAGACAGAGAGGGAAATAATAACGATGATGCACAATTAAATATCTCAAGAAAAGAACATATCTAAGTCACCACATCCGTTCTTTAGCGCTCAGAAAAGCTTACAAATCCACCAACATAAAATTATGTGTAGAAAGCCAACCTCTTGTGTGGTTTCATGATGAAATAATACAGTATTTTATGTAAAGGTTATTTCCTAGGGTCTATCCGCTGGCATGCATGACAATCCAGTCTATATGAATAATGATATTAAGAATGTTAATGGCAATATTGATGATAATAATGATGATTAATGAAATGATGTTGAGGATGATGACAATGCTAATGATGATAATGATGACGAATAGAGAGATGATGATATTAGTGTTATGTATGTCATCTTTGAGGCCGATGACAAAGATGACATACATAATAAGTGTAACACTAATATGAACTATTTAAAAATCTAAAAATACGAATACAAACAATAACGAAAATAATAATATAAAACAAAAAATATAACAAACAAAAAACCCAGACAACAAAGAAAGCACAAAAACAAAACAAACCCAGACAAACAGAAACAAACAAAACCCCCAACAAAACAAAAACAAGCCCAGACAAACAAACTCCAGCAAACAAAATAACAATAAAACAAACCCCAGGCCCAACAAAAAACAAACAAACCCAGACAAAACAACAAAACAAACCCCAGACAAACAAAACAAGAACAACAACAACACCCCCAGACAAACAACAACAGAACAAACCCCAGACAAACAACAACAAAAACACCCCAGACAAACAACAACAAAAAGAAACAAACCCCAGACAAAACAACAAACAAACAGACAAACAACAAACAGACAAACCCCAAACAAAACCCAGACAACAAAACAAACCCCAGACAAACAACAAAACCCCAGACAACAACACAGAACAAACCCAGAACAAACAAAACAACCCCAGACAAACAAAACAAACCCCAGACAACAAACAAACCCCAGACAAACAAACAACAACAGAACAAACCCCAGACAAACAAACAACAGAACAAACCCCAGACAAACAAACAACAAAACAACCCCAGACAAACAAAACAAACCCAGACAAACAACAACAACAACAACCCCAGACAAACAAACAACAAAACAACCCCAAAACAAAACATACCTAGACAAAAACAAACCCCAGAAAAAAACAACAAACCCCAGACAAACAAACAAACACACCAGAACAAACCCCAGACAAAACAAACAACAACAGAACAATCCCCAGACAAACAAAAAACCACATACCAAAACTAACACCAGACAAAACAAACCCCAACAAACAAACAACAAAACAAACCCCAGACAAACAAACAAACCCAGAAAAACAAACAAAACAAACCCCAAAAAAACAAAACAAACCCCAAACAACAAACAAACAAAAACAAACAAAACAAAAAACAAAACAAAGCAAGTACCAACACCCACTTACCGAGAATGATCCCGATGGACAGGAGAATGATGAACGGCCTTCTGCGTCCCAGCTTCGACCGGCAGTTGTCCGACAGAGAGCCCAAGATCGGCGTCAGGAAGAACCCGATGAAGGGACTCAGGCACCAGATGAGTGTCATGTGCCTGTGCCTGACCCCGATCTTGAGCAGGGTCGGCGAGACGAAGGCGGTTTCGGCGGCGTAGCAGAACTCGATGCCCATCACGGCGGCGGAAATGCGAACCATCTCGGCGCGGGTCTTCCGCCTGAGGGGGAGGAGGGGGGAGGGGGGAGGTTGAGTTAGTTTTTTTTTTTTCTTTTTTACTTTTTTTTTTCTGAGAAAATGAGTCTATTGTCATCATCATCATCATCACCGATATCATCACCATCATTATTATCATTATTATCTCTATTATCATCATCATTATCATTATTATCATTACTATTATAGTTGTTATTACTATTGCTACTACTATCGTTATCATCGTTATTCTTATTACAATTATTATTATCATCATTAACCTTATCATTAACGTATTTTTATCATCAATATTATCAATATTATTACATTATCATTACTATCATCATTAGCATCATTACTATTGTTATAATTCTCCTTATCATTATCCTTAATATCATTATTATCAATAACACCATTATTGTTATTTTTTATCATTAATATTAACATTAGTACCATCACTATTATTTTTATCATCAGAAACAGCATCATTATTATTTTCACTATTATCTGGCTATCTAAAACTATTGGGCGGCTCGTTGATTTTTTTTTTTTTTTTTTGTGGTTGGATCCACTTCTACTGGGCGTGTACACACTCTATCTAGTCAGTTTAATTACATTTTATTGATGACACGTATTCCCGAAAATTTTATTGTTATAAATTCTGCAATCATATTTAGGAATATTTTTTCTTTCTTTTTAACCATGCAGCGAGTTCAAGAAAAATCCTGGCGACCTTCATTTCAGGGAAATGAAAATCTCATCGCGACAGACAGCGAGTGAGGGCATTAGATTTAGGATTTTGAAAAAAGGAACATCCAAAGACCCTTTTTGGTCACATATTTTGCAATTTGGTTCACCGTTCTACTAAGGAGCATCGAAGTAAGGCAGGCAGCGACCCCGCGAATAATAATCACCCACGAAAAACACAAACAACCTACTTTATGTCTCACGCCGTTTTTCCAAAGAATCGAACATGTTTGTTTTTTTCCAGAGCGCAGAATTATCCCTTTCTCTCCTCCTCCTCCTCCCTCTCTCCGTTCTTCCCCCTTCCCTCTTCCCATTCGTGATTCCGCCATCACGATATAAATCTAACCTAACCGCACACGACGTTCTGGAATATGTATTTTTTATCACTTTTCCTCCCCCGCCCGGGTGGATACGTCCGGATACGTCCGTCTGCCTTCCACGAACGCCCTGGGGCCTGTTCCCATTTAGATTTCATGTTAACCTGAATGTGATTCTTACCTGAAAATAGCGAGATCTTGGGAATTCTAAACCTGTTAGTATAAAATTGCGGTACATTTATGTCTGCGTCTTCTTTTTTTCGCGTGTTTTTCTTCGCAGTATTAAAGAAAAGTTAATACGAAACATCGCAAAATATCGGAATGCTTATACTGACAACGAAAAGTATAGCGAAACATTATATATTATTATTATTAAACATTATGGCATTATGGTAACATGAAACATTCGAAATCAGATGGGTTTCTTTTTATTCGTTACATTTTCTTCATAAAACAATCGCTTTGCACTATAGATTTGTTGATATTATATGTGTTTCATTTATCTTTGCTTATATAAGACAGACAAAAATATATGCAGACAGTTACAAAGTTAAGTATGTGCACAGTGAAGCATTTAAGCATGTACTGCTTATGTCTAGATATTCATACAAAGATATATTGTAATTAGGTTAATCGATAATGTTCGCAGAAAAAGATATGTGAATAGATTGTCGTACGGCATTTAATATATAGGATTTGCGATTTTAAAACATTTAAAGTGTTTAAGACCCTAATCTCAATGTCTAGAAAGATGGCTTCGAATCTGTCTTCGTAGACTGGAACACCCATGTCGAAAATATATACTGAGTTGTAGAGTTCCACTCACATTTAGGACAGTCACGATATTCATAATGATCTTTATAGAGGATACAAAAAACATATAATTAGATTCGTGATGTTGTGGTTCACTCCATTCTTTGTTTAACTTTAAGGTTTCTGTTGTGCAGCAAGAGTCATAATAAACATCATGTTAAACAAGCCCAAAATATTTTTTTTATTTAAGGGTGTAAGCGTCCGAAAGTATCCCCAGAATATTTGCGTTTATTATATATTTCGTTGATTTTAGCTTTCATCATTAACATAAACATCGATATATTTCTTTTAATGCATTGCAATCATGATATAGGGTGTATTATCGTGAACAGATGAATGTTCATGTTATAGATGATTCCTCACATACGACTCTCATCCTTGTTCACATCAATCTATTTTTCCTCCACCCCTTCTAACCCCTCCCCCTTATTCCTCTCTCCTCTCTATCCACCCCTCCCTATCCGTCCTCCATCCCCTCCCCTTCTCCATCCTATTTCCCCTCTACCCCCTCCCACCCCCCCACCCCCCATCCCCTTCTCCATCCTCTCTCCCCCCCTCTACCCCACCCCCACCCCCCGTCCTCCTCGTAGCTCGACCCGCGAATAACATTTCTGTCCGCCGTCCGCCTATTCATCAAAGCGTCGAGGCGTCTAAACAAAACACGGATTAGCGTTGACGAGGATCTCCTAAGTCATTAACCCGGCAAACACTACGGCCGTATCGGGACGGGCAGGCGGGAAGAGAGAGGCTTGCGGTGTGGGAAATCCGTTACGAACTATGCGTCCATATTTTTTTTTGCTTTCTTTCTCTTTCGTTTTCTTATTCTTCGATTTTTCTTGGTTTCCCGTTTCGTTAGGTTTGAATTGAGGAACTTATACCCGAGTTCTGCACACATGGAAGTATACACGTTTCCATTATCAACTTGAAGTATATTCCTTATTTTTTAACTGAAACCGTATTTAGCATCGCGTGAAAGATATTGTATCTACAGAAGTTACATAATTTCTGCGTTTTTTGTGTTCTAAATGAGCGAAAGACAATATACCGTATACTAACAGAAAGTTAATCTATCTCTGTCTCAGAATAAAGAATCTGAATTTCATATCTAATTAGTAATTTCTTGGCAAATCCATTCATACAAGACACATTATTTTACCTTCTAGTTCCGGGTCGAGTCTTCAAGCCCTCGCCAGGATTCGAACCCCGATCTTGATTTCGAATTTGACGCCCTTTCCCACCAGGATAAAAGTGATAGGCAGAAATCCCTCCTAGATAAGGGGATAGATTACACCCAGTGATACGGGCTTCACTTGGGGGATAATGGAGTTACCCCTTAACTACCGCTACTCCCAGGACTCTCTTGGGAAAGGAGAAGCACCTGTCAACCTTTCTACTCCCCCTATATATATTTACATGTATACACATATATATGTTATATATATAAATAGATATAACATATATATATATATATATAATATATATATATATATATATATATTGTGTGTGTGTGTTTGTGTATGTGTATGTGTTTGTTTAAATAATGTGTGTGAGTGTATGTGTGTACATTTACATAGGTATATACATACATATATATATATATGTATATATAAATGGAAATATACATTTATATATGCATATAGGTATGTATATATACACACACATATACTGTATATATACATATATAATATACCAAAATATATATAATATATATATATATGTGTGTGTGTGTGTGTGTGTGTGTGTGTGTGTGTGTGTGTGTGTGTGTGTGTGTGTGTGTGTGTGTGTGTGTGTGTGTGTGTGTGTGTGTGTGTGTGTATCCGTAGCATCGAAGCCGTTACCACCGCTCGGCAGCCTACATCCCCAAGGCCTCCGCACTGATAAGTCAACAACAACAAAAACCTCAACTTTTCCCGAGGTTCCTGATTGCGAGAGCGCGCGCCCAACCAGAGAGAGGAATTACTCTGATGGAATTACCGAAGCTTCCCCGTTTTCTTTAACCATCACGCCATTCCCTGTAGGCTGACACTCCATCATGCCAACAGGTCGATAATCCCTCTCCGCGTTAATGCATTCTCGACCATCTGATATCTCGCGGCCCAATTCGATGTCATTAGCATGAGTTCGTTCGCCTCGGTGCATCCTAGCTGTCTAGCAGGTCGGGTTACTAGCGAAGGGCGGAGGGGGGACTCCGGTAGTTATCGAATTACCGGACGAGGCAATCGGTTCTTGGAGTCGCGATTGTGTTTTGAGGAAAAGGTGAGGGTCTGGCCTATGGCTGTAGTCGGGGATGTAGATGCTTCAGGTTTTATTCATTCACTTTCTGCCTTTTAATTCAAGTGAGAGAGAGAGAGAGAAACACACACACAGAGAAAGAGAAGAAAACACAGAGAGAGAGAGAAAAAAAACAGAGAGGAAGAGAGAGAGACAGAGAAACACAAACAGAGAGAGAGAGAGAGAAAACACACACACACACATCAATATCAGATCTTAAACTCCCAGGCCAACAAAATCACACATCTGCATCACCCCCTCTCGCACGGTAACATCAGATCCCATCAGAAAGACGGAGTGGCAGAAGGAGGCGGGGCGGGGCGGGGCGGGGGCGGGGCGTGAATGCGGAGCTGAAGGCGTCTCCATTACCATGCCGTGTGGGCGAAAAAAAGTCACTGAGTAGGAGGCTCCTATGGCAGAAGGCGTCCTCCTGGATCCAAAGGGACGTGATAGAAAATACTGAATATATTTGTAAAGAGGAGGGATGTTTGATGGGGAGGGGGAGAGGGGAGGTTTTACGGAGGAGAGGAGAAGGGGGGAGGAGGGAGAGGAGAAGGGGGTAGGAAGGGAAGGAGGGAGGGATGGAAGGAAGAGGTAGTGAGAGAGAGAAAGAGGGAGAGAGGGAGAGAGGAAGAGAGAGAGAGAGAGAGAAAGGGAAGGAGGGGCTAGTGAAAGAGAGAGAGACAGACAGACAGAGACAGAAAGAGACAAGCAAAGTCAGAGAAAAAAAAAAAAAAAAAAACAGACAGTGAGACGGAAAAAAATAGACAGAAACACAAAAGAACGAAAGATAAAAAAAAAAAAAAATCTTAGCCTTTCGGAAAGAGACCTATAGAAGCGAAATCCATTAGACGTACACTCGAGGGCGAGGTGCGAG